AAAAAAAAGAAATATTTGCAAAGAAATACCGCATTATTGAAAGAATTGAAAATACTCACTTCAGTCCCCGACTTTTTGGCCCGATAATTTTCCAAGATTAATAAACCAGCATAAATTTTACCAACAGTCAACTTCTCGAAGCAAAGTTCTGAAAGTATATATCACGCTCATAATTTGACAGCATTATTGCAGCAACCACTTCAACCGTTCTCTATGCAGTTCCCAAAATGTAAGACGTTAGCCATTAGCGACTATTAACGATAAAGATAATACTGCCACATCTTATTCGTAAGTTCTTTTGCCACCAAAAATTTTAATCGGTTTTGCAGTAGTAACCCAAAAAAGCTTCAGTGCTGTTTTAAATCTTCAAAAAATTCTCTTTGCGTAGAAGAAATTATTCTTTTTTTTCCTCTTCCTTCGAGACAATTCGTGTTTGATCTGAAGGACCTACATTAACAGCTTCTTTCAGCCAATTCTATCGCTAGACCTACAGAAATAACATCGGTATTGACTTTACTGCTTTAGCAATAGCAGGTTCTGCTGAGTTTCTAACTATAAAATTAAGAGTTGTTTCCTTAAAAAGCATAATGCAGAAGAATAAAAAGCCGAAGACCCCAGAATAATTTCTAAGTGGTTTCTGACTTTTGCTTTTTTAAAGAGTGTTCTTCGAAGAGGTTTCGAATGCAAATTCTGTCCGAGAGGTTAACAAATCTGAGTGTTTTTAAGTGACAAAGGATGTACGAGCAGAATCAACTGTTGTTGAAGTTGTGGTCGTAGCGATTAATATTGTTAAGCAAGAAGTTGATATACTAATACACTAATTTTTTTTCCACGTAATAAAAAGCATTAAAACGAAACCTGTATTTGGTGGCACTACTAAATCTATCATATTCTTTTTTGCCTTCAGTGGCCACATTTTTTTCAATGTCTGCCTCAGTTCTTCGTCGGCTTCATCCATCTCCTCCACTGTAACGTAAAGCAAAGATATTAATTTAGTTTTTGAAAGTGCTGACAGACTTCAAAAAGTTAGGATAGAAACCACTGTCTTTTTTAATTTTTTTCTCAAAATAAAAAAAATTAGGAAAAAACAGAAACGACAAATTTTTGCTGTACCTGGTCGCATCTTGATACTTAGCGATTCGCGAATCAAAGCAAAGAGTGTCGTACTGAAGTGTACAGTTCCATCCTCAGCAACCGGCATATTCATTCGAATTAGATGTTTATAGGCGAGTCGATATGGACACTTTCGACCAAAACCAACTGGAGGAGCAATGTTTCTCAACATGTCGTACATCTCTGTGTAATGGATACGGCCCCTTAAATAATAAATTTATAGCCGTTTTTACTCACCTAAGCTGTTCGGTTTCAAAAATCCTCAAAATTTGACTTACGTAGCAGCTGGATCGTATTCTGCCCAATGCCTGATAAATTCATCAAGATGATGAGGCCCAAGAATAGAACTATCACGAGTTAAGTAGTCGAAATTATCCATAATAACAGCCACGAACAAATTGAGCATCTTTAAAATTGATTGTGTTCAACCTTTAGAAAAGCAAAAATCAAAATATAAGACTAAACCAGAAGCTATTCCAAAAGTTACCAAAAAAGTGGCGAGAAAAACAAATGAGGTGAAGTATGCGTATGAAAGCTGAGTTCCACAGGTTTTGCCCTTTGCCAAGTTTTCTTGGTCAGAGTTCGGTGTCACACAGTATTTTCCAGCTGTACATGCCATCATTATATCCTGCCAAGCTTCACCTGTAGAACATCTGCAAAAGAAAGTGTTGAAATTCGAAGTTTAAAAAAAAAAGATTTTTTGCGAGACAAGTGTTCATAATGCCAATATAGTTGTTAATTATTACCGAAAGAGCAAAATCAAGGAGTTAAAAAACGTTTGGAAATTATTATGCCGATTTAACTCTGTTGATGGATCCAACCAGATGTTTCCAAACACCTAAAAATAAGAATGCATTCAAGAAAATTTTCTGCGACCGATTTGGTTAATACCATGAAATTTACCCGAAAGAAAGTAGCGAAACTTAGTTACAGAACGAAGTAGAAAAAAAATTAAATAACTTACTAAATTAAAGTATAACAAATACCTGCATTCCTACAATTGCATAGATATAGAACAGCATACCGATCAGAAGACAAACATACGGTAACGCCTAAAACACGGCTATCAATCTTGTAAAAAAAATGTCTAAAAACTTTTATTTTCTAAAGGGTTTTCCATGTAATTCAGTCACAACTGACTTTAAAAGACTGAACAAATGTCCAAAGCAGTATTCTTATTGTATATCCCTGTTGCAGAAGACGGATCAAACGAGCTGCGCGAAAAAGGCGCAGAAACCCCAGGGAAACAAAGTGCCCTCCAAATTCCGTGACAAGAGCATCTGTGATAGATCCGACAACGGTTACAAAATCAAATCTGTTCCATCCGTCACGGAAATAATTCTAAATTCACCAACAAAGTGTTAACTTATTGTAATACAAAAAAGTTTCAAAAAAAGTTCCGGCAAGATTCTCTTCTTCAAAAAACTATTTTCGTTACAGTATTTCAGTCAAATACGAAAACTAAACTTACTCGGACACCATATGCAAGTATTTTCATCCCAGCTTCAATTGTGAACATAAAAGTCAGCACAGTGTTGCATATTCGAAGGGATCTTTCCAACCACTCAGAAATATTATGGTGCTTAAAAATTTGATTTTAGCCAATCTACTGTTTATTAAACATGTAAAAACTAAAATTTGCAGCAAAATATTATTCTTTTTCGCCACATAATTTAAAATTTCACCTTAGTCATTAAAACACCTGTATTCAAGCTGATCAAAACCATAATCAAAAGGTCGAATTTTGATGAAGAAACAATTTCCCACAATTTATATCGTGTAGAATTCTTATCTTCCGGCATAAACAAAGATCGTGGACGAGCATTCAGAGCGAAATCTATGCACTGCTTCTAAAATAAGATGCTATTTAGACCAGTGTTACCTAGACAACTTGTCTCGTGGTTAAATATTAGATAAAGTTCCATATTGGTAAAAAATTGAAAATATTTGCCTATCGGTTTTCTTAACATTAAAACTAACTTGAATTACAATAAAAAACTAGCACATTTACACAGAAATAGAGTGTTTGTCATTAAACCAACAAATAAATTATTGTACAAAATAAAGATGAAAACTCTCGTTCAACAGCATAAACCAAAAAAATAGATTTAAAAAAGGAAAACCTGGTTTTTGTCTAAGTCTCCTTCAGATAACTCCTGTTCACCCTGTTCTTGGAATGTAATAATAATCAACGCAACGAAGATGTTGACGAAGAAAAACGGAAATACAATAAAGAACATTACGTAAAATAAGGCAACCTAAAATTGAATAAAGATTCAATTCAAGCTAATTTTCTTTCAGCATTTCTAGAACAAGTCCGGCAGAGCTTTTATGTTTTTGGTCTATTCAAAGTCTTGACAAGAATTTGTTGAATTTCGGCAACTTAAACCAGTAAAACAATAAATTATTACGTGAAACTATAACATGTTTACCAGACCTCAACCCGATAAAATGGAGAAGGCCCTTGGTCCTCCTCAGTGGTGTCGATAGAATTTTGCCGTATTCCAGGCCATCCTTCACCAGTAGTTACCACAAACAGAGTCAACATAGCATTTACAGTGTTGTCATAATTGAATGGCCGTAGTCGCCACTCACGAGTCTCCACACGAGGTGGTTCCTCCTACAAGTTAATATTCA